GATCGAACGCACTAGTACTTATAAGATATACGCATTGTCCTAGAGCACTTGTTCTCGTTAAACATATTAAAATAGATACAAAATGTGATTAAATATCTGATAATAATAGTATGTCCTATGTCAGACTAAATTGGACGCGTATAATTACCAAATGAGTAATGTCAGCAAAAACACCCATGAGACTATAATGTATAGAATACTTATACCGTAATATGCAAGCATTATTTTCAAGATGAGTCAGCAAGAAAAATTCATATGTGATAATACTACTTTATTTTCAGTTTTCTCAAGAACAGACTTGACATTAGATAAAGTTTGTAGAAACTTTGAAACAGTAGGATTGAATCTAATCGTTGTGAATAAATATGATCTCCGCAATATTCTTTAGAAACCACAGTTGTCTAGGTTGCCAGAGAAAAACAGCAGATGCAAAGAATTCATCAATTATTTCTTGAAAATAGTAAAGTTATCGATGTAATTGAAAATATAATTATGAAACGTTTTAATAATCATCTCGTTTTCTTATTAAAATATAAACAATTAACATTAAAAAATTTAAAGAAATGATTCATGTAGATTTTTAAAAAATTTTCTTAATCTCTAAAACTATTTTCGACCGTCGAAGATTTTTTAAAAACCAAACATCTAGTTTTATGTCACGGTCCTGTCAGGAAGCTTTAGCAGCTATTCTGGATATCGGCTAAAGCTCGTGAGGTTCGAAATTTTCGTATGCAAACCCAATCAAATTCAAATGCGAATCGGACAGTTGTTCTGAAGATACAAGATGTAGTTTTCGGCTTTTTATATATGCAGTGGCTAGCACACCCTATACATATCTCAGACAACTAGAATTCATCGGATCTAAATTTCTCAAAGTTAGGACTAACCTGGAAGAGTGTAACAACTGTAGCAATCTTGTATTTAGTCCACATTCAAATCACAATTATAGATTTAGCTTTGATAATTATGAAATGTAAAAGTGAAAAATGCAGCAATGATGAACGAGCATCGAAATTAATACATATTTACGTTGTTAGATAATAGAAAGAATACCAAAAGTGTTTATTATGGTATGAAGAAATTGAAAACAATGCTGACTTTCTTCGATATTTATAAACATAGCTTTTTTTACCTCTCTTTTTTCAAGAATTTGATTTCTCATGTTGATTCATATTATGATAACATTGTTTTAAAATAAAATGAAAGTAAAAAACACTCTTGTACAGAAAAGAAGAAACATTTAATTTTTCTTTACCTCCATATATTCTATCAAAGTGCTATGATATACACTTCTATTTTCCATTACTAAAGAAAGAATTTACTCTAATATCAATCAAGTCTATATTGTCATCATAAAGTAAGTTTTTGTTTCAACTTATTTACAATGAACAGTGACTAAAAATTTTTGTTTTCGATCGATTAAATCCTAGTTATATTTGAATTATATTATAACAAAAAAGAAAATTTATATTTTCTACATTCTTTTTAAATATATCTCGTCCTTATTACTTGACGAATTCATTCATTAAAAGAAATATCTTTCAACATAAATATTCTCAAATTGATATTATTAATTTTTTATTTTATTACATAATAATAATCGTATAAAATTATCATTATTTTATGCAGAATACTATATCGAGAAATTTGTTAAATATTTTTTGAATACTACTTCAAGAAACAAAATGACACAAAACGGTCAAAAGATAAGAAACATATAAGAAAAATAATCACAATGCAATAAAAACCAATCTTTTTTTCATCATGATATATAACGTCGCACCATCGACAGCGACTCTTATCGTAAAACATGTGCTTCATGTATATGATCGAACATATGACTCATACTGTATAACATCAGTTGAATACATAGGTAGATGAAAAAACAACACGTAAAAAAGTCATATACATATGTGCGTTTGAATATATATGCTTGAATGATCGTTTCATTCATCATGGGCGTATTCAAATAAAAACAATAGCGATTATGTTAAAAATTACATGATCTTACACAATGTTGATTTTCTTTGTTAAAGGTAAATATTTTAATATTAGAATTTTATAACAATCTTATGGTAAATACAAAATTCAATGTATTCATATGAATATTTTACTATTAATAGTTTAATTTTTATATTAATATAAAGTATATATTTCAAATAATATATACTTACGATGAAAAATTTCTAACTGTCAAATTGCTTTTAAATCAGGATTATGCGTTTAATGTAGATGTTAACGAACTATGAATATCCTGAAAACAGTTCATTGCTGCGGTGATAATATACTTTTGCCATAATTTTTAGTACAATACTGTACTTATCTTTCTTAGGAAAATTAAGTTTTGAATTTTAACTTGAACTTTTGCATAGAGAAAGATCTTTATAAGAATAAATTATTGTAAAAGTTTTAGTTTTTTCGATTGCACTTATTTTGATACAAGGAACATCGAAATTAGTAGTTGTATATGATTGGTATGAAGAACATGCTTTTATTATAGGTATATTTTAGGATAGAATCAATCAAAATTCGAAACTTAATTTTCCTAAGAAGGATGAGTACAGTCTTATACTAAAAATTACAATACTTTAGCAATAGTAAATTATGAACCTGAATTACTTTCAGTGTGTTGACAGCTCATTAGAACTTACATGATGCACATAATCTCGATTATACATGTGCAAGTAACAAATTTTTTTTTAATGTCGATCTCGGTAACTTAGTGATTCTGATTTGTTTCTCGTACTCTATATTTTACTTTTAATACTTAAAAATATTCTCTTATTACTTTATTTTATTTTAGTTATCATGTTGATCTGATATTAATTACAATAGATTAATAAATATCTATATGTTTATTTTAGGTATTTAAAAATTTATACGAATGACTTCGACTCAGTCATCATCATCTTCTCTTATACAATCACAAGTAAACACACATATTCAATTCTCTATTTGGCATACATTTAAACATCATATTCCACGTTTTCTCACAACAATTCTTGTTGATGTTATTCTTCCACTTGTTATCTATTTTGTTCTTCAAAAATATATAAAACCTGTTTATGCATTATTAGTTGCTGGTACTCCACCATTTATTATGGTTATTTTTAAAGCTATTTCATCTCGAACATTTGATGCACTTGGTTTTCTTGTTTTTATTGGTTTTATTATTTCAGGTATTGTAGCTATTATAACACATAATCCAATTATACTTCTATTAGAAAAATCTCTTGTTACTGGTATTGTTTCAATTATTTTTGCAATAACATTAATACCATTTCATTGTTGTCATGAAAATTGTCGTTTACGTCCATTAGGTTATTATTTTTATCAAGATTTAATTCCAATAAATCGAGAACAAATTGGATTACCTGAAAATTTATTTATTAATAATCAAGAATCAATTGATGAACAATATTCTGAAAATGAAAATGAAATTCTTATACATAAATCATCAAATAAACAAGAAGTAGCTCAAGTATATGAATGGATATATATAAATTGTTCATCATTTCGTATAGCATGTTATTTTATAACAAGTACTTGGGCTGTAGGATTACTTTCAGAATTTCTTTCTCGATTAATTCTTATTTTAGTTCATTTATCAATTAATAAATTAGTTATTTATGGAAATGTTATACTTAGTACAATAACAGTAATATGTATTTTAATAACAATTATTTGTGTAACTCGAGAACGAAAACAAACAATAATATTAATTGAACAATGGAAACAAGAACATTTGAATATACAATAATTATTTGACAAGTAAAATAAAGAAACTTGTAGAAAAAAAAAATTTTTTTTTTTTTTGATTAATTCACAATAATAAAAAATGCATTTGTACTTTTGCTTTGATGCAATAAGAATTAACAAAAACAAAAAAAAACATTTGTTCAGTGATTTTTCATTCATGTATAATTACTTGATATGTCATTGATGCATATAGATACAAGAATAATAAATAAGTAAAGAGAAAAATATTGCTACTAACTTTTTAAAATTTCACTTTCAAAAGTCGATCTTCGGTCAAAGAAATTTAAATTGAATGAAATTTTCAGGATATGTTAGAACTGTTGTGGAAAAATTATTGTAATATTCTTAGCTGCATTATATGACGTTTTTTGCGAAATATTCAACAAAAAAAAGAGTTTGAAAGAAAAAAGAATAAAAGTAGAACTACTCTAAAATGTCTGATGAAAAAAGTGTAAACAGATGAAAAACGAAATAAATTTCCTTCTTTGTTATTTGAAGACATCATATCTTTCAAGAGAGCGATGACTAAATATGTGTGAGACTAACTTTTTTTGATAAAAATTATCTAATAAAACATATAAATCAGAACATAATTCACGAGAAATGACTCGAAAAGGTACTAGTTATCGACTAAATGAATAAAAAATAAAAATGTATTAAAAAATTATTTTAGATGCAATACGAATAAATTCTACAATAATTTTCTCTGGATCGGAATCGAGCGCAAAAAAAAAATCTTGACTCCGTACATCTCTCGTAATATCGTCAAAAATTTTCTTAAACAATGAGATCCATAAAAAGAAAAATTCATGCAAGTTATAAAAGATCAAACAACAGACTATCCTCTTATGCATTTATCTTAATTTCGATAATTCTAATAAAAATTGACTTTTGGTTTTTTGAGCGGAGACTTTACAAAAAGGAGTGGGTCTGCTTACAATTCTGGTCTTACTTTGTCTGAAAGTATCTCGGACAAAGTCTCAAAGGTTTTTTTAACCTTTTTGAAAAATATTAAGCTCTCAATTTTTATTTGAATGTTGATTCTTTATACTCTCACAAAGAAATGATGTGATTCAAAAGAAGAAATATCCTCAAGTGATTCTTTTGTCCTAACAATGCCCATGAATATCATACAGAGAATGTAGTGTATGAACACAATTTTTCTTTTTTTTTGCTTAAACAGAATCCATACATTGTCATCAATCGAATAATAACTAAAGCGCGATGTCCTTCACTAAATAATCGTAAATGAGTCAAACGAAAAAAAACAAAAGTGTATTTACGAAGTCATACAAAGGACGAGTTAATCTAAGTCAATATCTTTCGTTTTTCAAACGAAATTATATTCTACTAACGAGTCTATTGTACATTGTATTGATTTAACAATAGTGTTGTTTTAAATAAAATTAAACTCATTTTATCGTCTGTCATAAATGGGATATATTGACGTACTGTTGTGACATGTTAAACGAGTACTTCGATTGATTCTTTTTCTTTTTTTTTTTTTTTTTGGATGAAAGAAGAGAACAGCAAAACATTTGAGAGAGTAAATGAGGCATCTCACATGCAAGAAAAATAGTACGCATAAGAAAAAGAAAATAAAAGTTAACCAACCATCATTCATTACAATATATGACAATATTTATCGACATTCTTGCTCACAATAATCGTATGTACGTAGCTTGCATAATATATATTATAGCATTTCCGTCAATATAATATTCAAACGATCGACAAAAATGCAAAAGTCACCACAAGAGACGTCTCTACACCAATGTATGATGTTTTTTCTTTTTTTACATAAATAGTCACTGAAAACGACAAACATTATATGTGAGTGTCACAGATAATTTCTTTTATATAAGTAGACATCAAGAATTTTATTCTATAGTAATAGTTTATTGACTTGAAATTATTTGACATGAGATGTAATACATTTTAAATGATTGAAACATTAAGGATAGAAACTTTTTGTCTTATATCGTTTGTGAAACATAATTAATAATCAAATTCGAATTTTTATATAAAATTATATTCAATATTTTAATGTTATAGATTTTTTTTGTTTTTTATCACTCTTTAATTAGTTTCATATAGTTATGTGAGTCATTTTTATTAGTTATGACATCAAACGAAGTTAAAATCATGCGCGAACATAAATAATGACGTTGATAACTATCTAAAATCATTGTTTGTATTGTACACATAGAAATGTATGCGGTTTTCGCTTGTATTTTTCCTTCAAAGAAAAAAACAAAAACTAACAGACCAAAACCTGTCATCATACAAAAAATATTGTCGTGACTCATTATTTATCATGATAATTACTAATGATTGCAATACTGTTTATTATATATTAATATACCGTCATCAATTATGTAGTTCCTTATTTTGTTTTTGAGTAGAAAAAAAAATTATACAAAATCAACATATGTCAGTGGGAAGATTGTAATTTTTGACAAAAAGAAAACCTATGTTAATTTTGTTTTTAATTTGGTGTAAAACTACGTTTCCAGTTTTCGTTAAGAGAATATAGAAGTCGTACTTATTATTTTTCAGTAGACAGTTGACTTCTATTTTTACTATTTGTATTCGTTATAAGCTAGAATGGCCTCTTTTGTGTCAACATTATAAAAAAAAAATGACGTTCGAAAATATTTTGAAGCACAAATAATAAAAAATTCTTCACACGTTTTTTCATAGAAATCTAACGAAATAAAAGTTTAAAAATTTTTTTGTTTTTCTTTTTATATAGAAATACATTGTTTTTTTTTTTCAATGATTTCAACTCATGAATTATATTCTTCATCAGATCAACAGCTACAAATACCTCGAAGAAAAAAATTTTCTATTTGGCAAACATTTAAACATCATATTCCACATTTTCTTTTAACTATTCTTGTTGATATTATTCTTCCACTTATTACTTATTTTATTCTACAAAAATATATTAAACCTGTTTATGCATTATTAGCTGCTGGTACTCCACCACTTTTTATGGTTATTTTTAAAGCAATATGGTTTTGCACATTCGATGCTTTAGGTTTTATTGTCTTTGTTACATTTGCTATTTCTGGTATTGTAGCTATTATAACACGTAATCCAATTGTACTTCTATTAGAAAAATCTCTTGTTACTTTTATTCTTTCAATAATTTTTGCAATAACATTAATACCATTTCATTGTTGTCATTATCGTTGTCGTTTACGTCCACTTGCTTATTATATGTATAAAGATTTAGTTCCAACAAATCGAGAAGAAGTTGGATTACCTGAAAATATATTTCGTGATGAAGAAGAACAAATTAATAATCAATATAGACAACTTGAAGAAGAAGTATCACGAAAAATAATGTCAAATAAACAAGAAGTTACTCAAGTATATGAATGGTTATATAAAAATTGTTCATCATTTCGTATTTCATGTTATATGATAACAAGTATTTGGGCAATAGGATTACTTTTAGAATTTCTTGCTCGATTATTTCTTATTTTTATTCATTTACCAATTAATAAAATTGTTCTTTATGCACATATAATACTTAGTTCAATAACAATTTCATGTATCATATTAACAATTATATGTATAGCAATTGAACGAAAAAAAACATTATTACTTATTGAAAAATGGAATATACATGAACAAGGAAAAAAATTATCAGAAATAAATCGATTATTTGCTGCAATCAAACATCATTCAAATTCTGTTTTAAATATTGATACACAAAATATACTTTAATTTTTAGAAAATAAATTTTTTTTTTTTTTTTGTTAAAAATTGATTTCATATTACACCAAATGTTACTTGGCTTTATGAAAATCTCTGATCAACAAATTATATCTGAAAAAGAAATGACATTATCAACCTAGAAGTATAGAGTTCGAATTCAAGATAGATTTATCACATGAAATGGTTCTCTTATTAATTAGAATTGGACGTCTTCTCTATTAACAAACACAATTATTATCAGAATTTTTATGATCGATTTTAAAAACTAAAGCATTTTACTTCGATTGGAAATTGATTGCAGTTTGAACGATGATATTCAGAAATTAAATCTTCATCACTATTATAGATTGCACTAGAAAAATACTTTGTAAAAAGTCGTGCTCATTTTCGTTTCAACGAATGACTTGAATTTTTTTTTTTTTTATAAATTATACTGAAAGATTTGCACAGTGATTTTTATATAAATAATCCAACTTTTTGTTTTCTATAACTAATGGTATTTACAATTCTTTCGTATGTAATGATTTTTCAATACGAAGAAAAAAGCATTTTTAGTAATTTTTATTGCTATTACACAACTAAAGATGACATTTGAGATCAGAATCAAAAATTACATCGAATCAATCACATCCGAACATTGCGCATATCTGTTTGTAGAAGAAAAACGAAAATTTTTCAGAATTAGGAAAAAATCTGTGAATATGATAAAAAAATAAATTCATAACAAGCTAGAATTTATTATATCTGTCAACTAGTGACATCTATAAATCAAAGTGTATCGTATTTTTAAAAAATTATTTTATTAGAAATATCAACAGTAGTATTTACTCTAAATTCAATTTCCTAACTGGTGCAATGATATCATCTTATCAAATTCGACAAATGAGTCATAATAATATAAAGGAGAACTAAAATTATGAAATAAATAATAGTGTACGTGATTTTCTATACATCCAATCTATTCTTTTATTTCGAATTTTTATCCATTCTAACTTTTTTTGTTTTTGTACATCGTTCCTCTAAAAGACGAAAATCTAACAATAAAGAACCTGAACCTTCAAGTTCATCATCATCATCAGAAAATAATAATGACGAAGAAGAATTACATCAACATGAAAACATGCAAATAGATTTAGAAGCTAGCTCGTTTACTTATTGATAATGATTATTCAACAATTCTCTATTTTCTTGAACAATCATTTGGTAGCTCAATAAACCAAAAAAAAAATCTATTCTTGATTTAAATCAATCAACAATCTATATTGGTAGTATTTTTTTATTAACTATTAGATTCTACTCTAGATGAAACGAACGATAATGATGAAAGTTTAGTATTAGGTATATGTTTCAAAAATATTCTTCAAAGTAAGTTTCTTTTTTTTTTTTTGAAAAAAAGAAAACAAATTTGGACGAGTTGGGGTTTGAACCCAAGACTTTTCGCATGCAAAGCGAACACTCTACCGCTGAGTTACACGCCCATGGTAATCATATACGAAAAATTTCGTTTTCATTTGTTATTTTTCTTGTTCTTCGAAATAAGTTTATCATAAATTTCTTACAAAAATTAATTTTTCAATAGATAAACTTATATTTTAGATAAACTAATGGATAATGAAAATCATTTAATAGAAGATAAAACTGATGAAAATAAATCACAAGAAATTATCACATTTAAATCACTTGTAAGTCATTTTATTAAAGTATAAACTTCTAGATAAATAAATATTCAATCTCATGGTTCTTATCAAAGATAGTATTCGGTTGGGTTGAAATTCATATGAACAATACCCTAAGTCGAAGATTTCGGTCACCCGAACAGGGTGACAGTATTCCGGTTGGAGAATTTTTTGGATTTTTTCCCCGGTGACTTTCAGTCAACTTCCTTTCGTTTTCTGCAGAAATCACCGAAAATGTTCCGGCAACTTCCGATGTTTTCCTACAGAAATCCGCTCGTACTTCTCGATCTGGGACATTAACGTGTTATCCATTTGTGATGAAGCATTCCCTTGATGACTGTTTTATTCATAAAATGAATTCTAATTGAAATCGTTTTTTGTTTTGTTTTCTAAGGGTCTTAATGATGTATTATGTGAAGCATGTGAAAAACTTGGTTGGAAAACACCAACAAAAATTCAATGTGAAGCATTACCTGTTGCATTTCAAAGTATATTTTAATATATATATTTGTATTTTTTTTTTGTTTTATTTCAATTAAATTATAGATCGAGATATAATTGGTTTAGCTGAAACAGGTTCAGGAAAAACAGGTGCATTTGCATTACCAATACTTCAAGCATTATTAGCAACACCACAACGTCTTTTTGCACTTGTTTTAACACCAACACGTGAATTAGCTTATCAAATAAGTGAACAATTTGAAGCATTAGGTTCAAGTATTGGTGTTAAATGTGGTATGAGATCAAAAAACAAAAAAGGAAACAAATATTTTAATAATTTATTTATTTTTCATAGCGGTTATTGTTGGTGGTATGGATATGATGTCACAATCAATAGTATTAGCTAAAAAACCACATATTGTTATAGCAACACCTGGTCGACTTGTTGATCATTTAGAAAATACGAAAGGTTTTTCACTCCGTTCAATACGTTATTTAGTTATGGATGAAGCTGATCGTATATTAAATATGGATTTTGAAATTGATTTAGATAAAATTCTTAAAATTCTTTCATCATCATCAACACGTTCAACATATTTATATTCAGCAACAATGACAAAAAAAGTTGCTAAATTACAACGTGCTTCATTACATGATCCAATTAAAATTGAAGTATCAGATAAATATTCAACTGTTGAAAAATTACAACAAACATATTTATTTATACCAGCTAAATATAAAGATGTTTATCTTGTTTCAATATTAAATGATATGAATGGAAAATCTATTATTGTTTTTTCTTCAACATGTACAACAACATTAAGATTAGCATTATTAACTAGAAATTTAGGTTTTACAACTGTACCATTACATGGACAAATGAGTCAAGTAAGAGAAACAAAAAACAAAAAAGCGATTGTTTAACTAACGAGGGAACGTTTTCAACTGTCAAATCGCTTTTGAGTTCGACTCTTTGTGCATAAGATAGATCCCAATGAGGTATGAAAAATTCCAAAAGATTAAATCCCCTTAGATCTTCTGTCCAGAGTTACAGGTATTTTACTAGAATTTTAGCCTAGGGCATAGTATATACGAACAAATTGAATGACGATATTTTGATCTGAGATTTTACTCACAGACAGGTCTATTTATGAGCGGAATGTCCTGAAAATTTCAGCTCGAAAGAACGTTTCCTTCCCAAGATATTAAAGTACTCATATACGACAAAAGATGCTAAGATTTTCTGTTTTTTGGGACTTTAATATCTCGGAAAGGAAACGTTCTTTTGAGCTGAAATTTTCAGGACATTCCGCTCATAAATAGACCTGTCTGTGAGCAAAATCTTAGGTCGAAATACCATCATTCAATTTGTCGGTATATATCCTGAGCCATAGGCTAAAATGCCTGTAACTCTGGACAGAAGGCCTAACGGGATTTAATCTTTTGAGATTTTTCATACTTCATTGGGGTCTATCTTATGCACAAAGTCAAAAGAGATTTGACAGTTGAAAATGTTTCGAAATCTTCCCTTATCTATTCGTACTTCTGTAACCGTTAACAAAAAAAAAACAAAATCAATAGTATTACATTTCTAAATATTTTACTTCTATTTTAATTTACTATTCCTGGGTACTATCATTGATTAATGAAAAAGTTTTCACAAAGAATCAAAATTAAATATTTTTTGTTTTTCTATAGACAAAACGTCTTGGTGCATTAAATAAATTTAAAGGTAAAGCTCGATCAATTCTTATAGCTACTGATGTTGCTAGCCGGTAAAAATTTTTAAAATATCAAAAAAATATATTATAAAAATTAATTATTTCTAGAGGTTTGGATATTCCACATGTTGATATTGTTATTAATTATGATATTCCAACACATTCAAAAGATTATATACATCGTGTTGGTCGAACAGCTCGTGCTGGTCGTAGTGGTAAATCAATAACATTTGTAACACAATATGATATTGAATTATATCAACGTATTGAATATCTTATTGGTAAACAATTAACACAATATATTACACATGAAGATGAAGTTATGCTTTTATTAGAACGTGTTAATGAAGCTGATCGACAAGCTCGAATACAAATAAAAGAAATAGAAGATGAAAAAAAAGATCATCGACAAAAACGTAAAAAGAAAGATCAAAAAAATGATGATTTTTTAGATGAAATGAAATTATCAAATAAAAAACGAAAACATGAATATAATGATTCAGAAAATAGTTTTGGTGTTAAAAAACATTTCAAGAAAAAAAGAATAAATAAATAAATAAATATTTTTCGTTGTTTTTTTTTCTCTCACATTAAAAAAGAAATGTTTGAGAGATTTTGTTAAACACAAAAAATAAAAATAAAAATAAAAATTTTATTTTCATTTTATTCTGATAATATGATTATGATTTGATGATATAATACAATTGATTTTTGTTGGACAAACTTTCTAGAATAGTCTTTTGAGATCTAATCGGCATGAGAAACAACAAACAATTATGATGTTTTCTATGATACTGACTTCAATCAATGTTTATCATGCTTCTCTCAATCAAATATACACCCAAGATTTCGGCACTAACTTATTAAAGACTAATGAAAGTCAATCGCTTTCAAAGATCAAAGCTGTAGAGTGTGGATATAGCCTTTCGAATGTGGCAAAATTCGTTAGTGAATGAAACACTTTGAACCACTTCCATCTACTTCTCAAATATATCGAATATAATATTAGACTTAAATTCTTATTCAAGTGTCTTTGATCAACAGTATTTTACAAAATGACACAATACTAAACAAGTTTAATACAATTAATATAGATCAGTTCATCAGTTTTAACCTTGAATTGGTCTTGACAGATGAACAGTAGAATGTTGTGGTTCTTCCATTGATAAGG